GCTTATCGACCAACTCACTAAATCACTCTTGTTTACTCCATCACCTCACTAATTAATTGAGCACATTGCTTGTCTCTTTCTTAACAAACTCATGCACAACACTCACTACCCACTCATTCAAACACTTCCGCACTCACCATACTCACTCAGTTATTTATTATTTCTCTCACTCACACCGTTCCATCAATCGCTCACTTATCCAAAAACCCATCCGCCTCACATGCATTAAATTACTGACCGACTCAATCACACAATCACCCAGTAACCTGACTTGACCACAAAGTCACTCAATTATGAAAAACTCCACAGTCGTCCATGACACTGTGGCCTAGAAAAATATGAGGCAACGTTTCAGGCAAGGACCCTTCTTCATAACACATAGAGAGACCATAATCAGAGTTGGAGGCTGCAGTTGTTTACACCATGGGACATGATGAGAATTAAATGTCGATGTTCTCCCTGATGAAGTTTTAATTTGGCATCTGAATAGTAACCTAATAATAGCTCCTGAGTAACAAATAAACCCTTTAATAATCACAAATGTATTCCTAAATAATCTCATTTATGTTAAAAAAGTAAATGTCAGGACTTGTGAGATTGTTGGTCCAATCCTTCCATCTAAAAATATTAAAACTAATCCATTACCAGGGGCAGATTTACCAGGGAACACACCTCCTCACGTGATAAACGTGGGTAATGGGTATGTAGTTACACATGTTCATTGTTCACAGATATGATGTCGCCCTCTGGCACAATGTCACCCACCTTACGTAATCGTCTGGTCAGCCAACTGAATGCGATTGGGTGAGTGTGTGCTCGCTAACAACACTTTCCCCAAAAGTCTGTTAAGGCTATACGTGGGATCTTTGTCTTTGTGAATGTGAGTGGATGATGACCTGAGTGGGGTCATGTAGCCTGCATGCCCAGCCACGGCATGCCCAAGCAGTTTCTTGTTAGTCAGATAGAGGGGACGACTAAATGGGTGTGTCACAGGCCAGATAAGAGATGGACTGAGGTGGATCAGAAGGATGTGGAGTAGATTGGACTTGCTGATGACCGGTATCAGCAGTGTCAAGACCAGCTTCTGTGGAGGAGGTTCGTGAAGGATGCTTCTGGGGAGTTGTAGGCAGTCAGCCTCCACCAATAACGTAGGGCAGATGAGCGATGCTTACAACCGCGAGCACAGTGCAGCAAGTTGGGACAGTAAGGGGCACAGGTGGTGCATTTGTCAGTCATCTCAGTTAGTCAAGCCATGGCACCTGGATCTGTTCCGTTACCTGCCAGGGAGCCTTCGACACTATACGTGGCCTCAAAGTACGGCTTTCATGGTGCAGGCGCTGTGGTGACTACCACCACTTAGTGGTGAGCAGTGGCTGCTGTTGTTTGGGAATAACTTCATGGGGACCGGTGGCACAGTGGTTATCGCACTGTCCTGTGAACCTGGCAAACGGAATTCAATGCCCACTTAATACTAATAACAGTGGTGCATATTTTAACGGGTGTTGGGCCTTCACGAGGTAGACTCAGCCTTAAAATGAGGTACAGTACATTATACTGATGTTTCATAGATTCTTATAAATGGTTACAATCTGTATTATCACGTTTACCAATACCCCAATGAAGCCCTCATACTTAAGTAATAAGGGTGTTGGAAACGGTGATTCTTTAAGTGAGCGCTAAGCGGGGTCGGTCTGTACTGAGTACACCGCGATCTGGAGAGGTGCACAATTCAATTCAGTCACCAAACAAGAACGCATTTTTTAAAAAATGTCACAATTACAGCCAAAATGTATAATATAATTAATATGTATTTACAATATAGAAAATCACGGTTTTGATACAAAAATAAATGTTGTGGTCAGGGTCCATTTGGTGGGGCGCTCTGAATGACGCCTGGTCACAGAAACGCCTCCCCCGGAATCTTCCCTGCTTCCTGACGACGGGAACGACGATTGGCGACCGTGCAGGAGCCGCAGCCAAAACCGGAGCAGCGAATGCGATGAGGGAATGAGGAGAGGCGGGAGCAGAGTGGAGAGGGAGACAAGCGGCATCATTAGCGACGGTCGCCAAAACGTGAACACGCCGGTGCAGTTGCGATTACGTGTGTCGGTCAGGATTGTGGGCGGCACGGTACTCACGTAGAGGTGGATGAAGTCATCGGCCGCTTTGGAGAAATCCCAATTGTTCCGCTGCAGGCATCTGTGGAGGCGAGCGCGGACAGGAGGCAAACATAACGTCAATGCCTTTATTCCACAGTCCAGCTTGCAAGTCTAGTGCCTGGGCTTTGGACCAGATTCCTATGGCCACCTGAAACAGGTTCATGCCAGCTCCCGGTGAGAATCGACCGTGCAGCCCCATTACACAGTGCCGTTTGGCTCGCTTCTCAATGGGAGCCGCATGCTTGGAATAGCGCCGTCACGGGGTCAATGCAGCAGAGACGCACCGTCAAGTCGCCCCTCACTCGAGTCGACTTTATAGCCATGTGTTTGTAGAAAAATTGTCGAAACATACCAAAAATTATCGTTTAAACTCGGGACCGGAGTAAGCCACCTCAAGCATACATTGTCTCCTTAATAATCTTTACAAAATGACTGACGCTTTCCTCTGTCTGTGGACAAAAGGGGTAGGGGGGAATGAAGGGGCATGAAGGACATAACAGTCCGAGTCCAAAGACCCTGGTGCCCCTCTAAGGGTTTGGCAGAATAAATGGCTCCTGCTGGGCTGTGTCTCATTACTCTTGCAATGAAGCATGACATCATGCGTGTGTGCACGTGTGTGTGGCTGTAAGACAGTTCCCACGTGCTCTCGCCCACCTTTGCGACCACTCCGGTGTCATGTGGGATTTTTCTGAGAACGAATTGACTGTCTCCTGCTGGGACGAGGTGAGCGCAGTAAGCGGGCAGCTGCTGGACGTCGCTGATGTTGTTGAGGCGAATGCAGGGGGCATCTCACTTGCAAGAGCTTCGCGGATGAACATCCGCTCACTCGCGACAGATGGCCTGCCGGGTGTCAACACAAGCAGGTCAATAAAAATAATAACACATTACTTAGTTAAACAGCAAGCTAATGGAGCACCTGAAGGAAACACACATGGGCAAGGGGTCAACACTATCCCATACAGAAGACAAGATGGAGATGAGTTCACACTTGCTGTACTGCCTTCTGGAAAATCAAGAGTATGCAACCTCGTTAAGCAAGAAGCAAAAGAATGGGAGAGGGAGCAGAGGAAAGCGAAGCAGGAAAGTGCGTATTGTCTGTGTGCGAAAACATGGTGTGTGTTTGTGGCTATGTGTATATGATGTGTCATGTAGCCCGTATGCCCAGCCACCGCATGCCTAAACAGCTTTTGTTCGGCTGGATAGAGGGGGCTAAACGGGCGCGGAATGGGCTAGAGAAGAGATGGAGTGATGTGGTACAAGAGGATGTGGATCTGAGTGGACTTGCCGATGACTGGTACCAGCCGTGTTAAAATCGGCCTCTGTGGAGGAGGCTCGTTAAGAATGCTACTGGGTAGTTGGAAGCAGTCGCCCTCCAACAACAATGGGGCAGAGGAGTGACGCTCAAAACAACAAGCGGACCACTGGGTGGCCAAAGCACAGCAAGTTGGCATAGTAGGGGGCACAGGTGGTGCATTGGCCAGCCATCTCAGTCGACCCGTAGCACGTGGGTCTGCCCCGTGACCTCCTGCCAGTGGGCATTCGACACTTCGCGTGGCCTCAACATGCACATAGACTGGCACAAGCGCCGTGGTGACATCACTGCCACTTAATGGCGAACGGCGGTTGTTATGATGTGTTGGGTCATGGTGCAAGTGACTCACCTGCCGTCCATGGTTGGCACCAATTGCACCACACGCCAAAACATCTTCACAGACTCTTGGCAATTCTTGGCTGAGGATCGACACACACGACAAAGGTGCACGGGCGTCAAGAGAGAGCCACGCCATTAGCATAAACCGCATGGCAGGATCAATTAGAATGGTGAGGTGGTGCTTATGGCATGCAGTGCAGAATGCATCTGGTGTAATTAAATGCAATGTCAGTGATGCTGTTGATGATGCTACTGCTGATGACGAAGCTGATGGTGAATGTGACTATGCAAATACTCACTCTCTTTGAAGAAGCCATGGATGGTGAAGTTGACCTGGGTATCCTGTAAAGTGAGAGTCACAAGTAAACTCGACCGCCCATCATTTTTAAGGAACCCAAGAGGTGGAGACTGCAGGGTTGAAGTCTCGGCCAGGGTTATTGCTGTGGCTAGAGTAAGTGTGAGTCTTGGCTTTTGTTAGTGTCAAGGTTTGCGAGAGAGATATATATATGTTGCTAGGGATCAATGGGATCGAGTGTCAAGGCTAGGGATAATGTAAGGCGAAGAAGATGGCTTTAATTTCTTTTCAGAGTTACGTTTCACGTAATAATTCACGTTTAATATTGGAGCATGTGAAAGGTGGATATATTTACATAGACATAAGGGTATCAAAGAATAAGTCAAAATTTTTATAGTAAAAATTCTAAGCATAAATTGAGGGCTTGTGCACAGGAAAGGTTTGTAACTCAGGCCACATAAGCTCAGCAATTTGTGTTTAAGCAGAGCCAGCGGCTATGCCAATGAGGGTGTTTTGGTGCAAGTCCACGTCTCACCGTGCCACGGCTGACGGTGGTGGTGAAGGAGGACATATCGTGATGCTTGTGCGTCAGCTCTTTGATGAAGTCCTCCGCCGTCAGCCGCTCGCACTTGAGCTGTGCTGTGGGATGAGGGGGCAGGAGGGCAACAAAACTGGTGATGTGAGTGGCGACAGATATGCGCATGTTAAACTTCTTTTGCACTGTACGCAGTCAACTGCTATCGGAGGTGCGGAGCAAGGAGAAAAAAACTGCATGGCGCACAGTGACAGAATGACATCAGCAGTGACACAGTGACGCGCGGATCTGCAAACATCGCCCGTGACGAACACTCACGTGAATCTTCCGGGGTCGGCTTGTCTGTACCCTCCTCTCCCAGGCTGCTCCTGGAGGTAGAAACGAGATCCGGAGTGTTAGGAAACGGAGTGGCTACACTCACATCCACAAGTGTGCTTTAATTTCCGTGCTTTCGCAAAGCATTTCTTTCTTCTGGTATCGTTGCGGAAACTGACGATTTAATTCCAGTTTTGGAAGCCATATTTCATTTCGAAGGATTTAAAGCAAGCTTCTGATTGGCTGCTTGCGGCTATGTGAAAAAAAACCTCCACACGTTTCAGCGCACTTTAAATGGCCTGCTCTTTTGATGACGCTATAGAAGTTGTCATTGATGCTTATAACCGCCTGTACCTATGATAAACAATGTAACACGGTCTCCCGAGAGCGGTCTGTGGCAAATACCAATGCATCCTTTCATGTGACAGCCTTGCTGGCCAGTTTGTGAGTGTGTGTGGGTTTGTCAGCTCACTCTGAGGGGGTGTAGATGGTGATGAGGGCATCCTTATGATACTTCTTGAGCAGACCCTCGCGGTCTGCGGTATCATAAAGACCGTAGTACCTGCCAATGCACATGCAACACACTTTAATCACCGAGTGCGTAGCGATCCATCGATTCATATCAACTCAATTATTTTGTTCACGATGCAAGTATACGGTCGTGCTTGAGATCATAAAAGAGTCGCAATGAATTGTTGCATAAATAATGGGATGATGCAGTGGTGTAACGGTTATTACTCTGGGCTTCCAAATCAGAGGTTGCCAGTGTAATGTCCTGGAAGCGAACGTTGAAGCAAAGGTGCAAACTGATTGAATCCCCCCACCTATGTCCAGCCAGCTGTCTACCACAGTTCAATTGGAAATGTTGGGGTCAAGTGTCGGTACTCCCTACCCTTATGTCCGGCTATTGTGGAAGACTAGGCCAAATACACGATAGAGGGTTCTCTACAGCTCCCTCCAGTGGAGTAGAATGCACAAGGAATTTCAGGGCTGCACTTTTATATACAACTAGTTTTACTACCCGGCTTCACCCGAGACTTGGATTCTTGTCTTGGATTAATAAGCGGAGGGTTGGGGTGGGGATGTGTGACGTCAGCAGGCACACTGCGTAATGCTTCCGCATGCGGGTGACATCACAGATGTGATGTCACCGCTCACTTGCCGTGGAAAATATATCCATTATTGCGCCCCCCCCCCCCAAAAAAAATATGTACAAGAGTCTATTTGTTTTTACTTTCTGCATTATGTACAGTCTGGAAGTTACCCACATTCCAAATTTCAAGTTTGTTGCATGTTGGGAAGTATGCTAAACATTTCGAACAGACATATTTACAAATTTCCCTTTTATATATATAGATGATAAATTCATGATAGAATTAAGATAATGGGACTAATCTGTAGAAGGAAGGCAATCCAACTGGAAAACGGTAATAATGAGAGACACATGGATTAAACAAAATATGCAGCGTAAAGAAACCATTCTAACTGATAAGAAAAGTAAGTGGGTTTGAGCAGAACACACTGGCAGAAGGAATAATGGCCATTAGTCTAGACTAAGTACTGGGTGACATCCAAGGGAGGGAACGTGCCTAAGGGCAAGGGCATCCACGAGTTGGAGCGAATAAATGAGCTTGTCTATCGATTGTAGGTAGGTTATTCCATTGCAGGGCAGTTGTATAGTGATGGATTGGGGAAGCATTTACCCAGCAGTGCATTGATAATTCCTGGTGATGATGATGAAATATTACATAAAAGCATAGGCTGGGATACCCTAGTGTCTGTGTGAGTGAGTGCGGGGAATTGGAAGGCTCCTTACTCCTTGAGAAAGTTCGTGATGAGGCCTTGAATGTCGGCTGAGGTGGGCGGCAGAGGGGTGGGTGGCATAGCTGTGGGAGGCTGAGCCTTGGGTGGCAGAGGTGTGGTTGGCAGAGTGGTGGGAGGCTGAGCCTTTGGTGGCAGAGGTGTGAGTGGCAGAACGGTGGGAGGCTGAGCCTTTGGTGGCAGAGGTGTGGGTGGTCGAGTTGTGGGAGGCTGAGCTGTAGGTGGCAGAGTGGTGGGAGGCTGAGCCTTGGGTGGCAGAGTGGTGGGAGGCTGAGCAGTGGGTGGCAGAGTGGTGGGAGGCTGAGCTGTGGGTGGCAGAGGTGTGCGTGGCAGAGCCATGGGAGGCCGATCTTCGCTAGGCTGAACCTTCCGAGGTCGAGCCGTGGGTGGCAGAGCTGTGGGTCGCTCAGCTGTGGGAGGCATAGGCGTGGGTGGCAGAGGTGTGGGTGGCACAACTTTGAGAAGCTGAGCAGTGGCAAGCCGATCCTTGGATGGCAGAGTTGTGGGTGGCACAGCGGTGGGTGGCACAGCGATGAGAGGCTGAGCTTTGGGAGGCTGTGCAGTCGGAGGCTGAGAAGAGGGTGCCATGACTTTGGGCACCATCATGGACATGGATGTGGGCGGCTCTGGCAAATCAGCTTCTTCCTGTTGGTAACAAACAATTATGGTAATGAAGGTGATTATGATGTGAGTGGTGGTGCTGGTGGTAATGAAGTTGATGCCAATGGTGAGGATGATGGTGTTGAGAGTATTGATAGATGTGATGATAACTTCTGATGTCCTAACATGTACCATTTGGTGTACCAACACATTCTGATGTACCACTACAAACAATCTGATATGCTAACATACAATCTGATGTACCAAAACACACACAATTACAAATACCAACACATCCACACGGAACTGCGGTGAGAGCATAGCAGCCGCGTGCCGGCTGTACGCATGGCCTCCTCACCTCGATCAGCCGCCGGTCGTACTTCGCAGCGAGCGGAGATGGTGGGCCCAGGACTGGGCGCATCAAGACGATGGCCTGCAATACGGGCAAAGCGGCGGCACCGATCAGCTGTCTGCCGGCACGCCGGCCCCCTCCCATGTGGATCACCTTACCTCGTTATTGTGGTCATGTCTGCGTGTGTCATAATTCTAATGCATGTTGTGCAACCAGGTGAAAGAGAACTCAAGAGACCAGGATATGCTTAATTTTCCACAGTGACCCCGGTCACCAATCACATGTAAAGTATTGGATTTACATTCATTTCTATGCTGTTTCATTTTTGTTCCTCGGGGGAAAGATGGCAGCAAGATGGCAGCAATTTGGAAAATGGATCAAAGGAAATGGTAAAAATGAGACGGGAATAATGGGAAGCAATAAAAACGAAATGATGAAAATTACATGAAAAAGTTAATTGATTTTTTTAAATGAATCCCGGCTTCCACCGACAACTCAATGAGTTTGATGATTTATGACGATATTTTTATGATTTCGAGTGCTGTAATCTCTCATAGCTGCGGGTGGTCACACATGGTATATGAGCTATTCAACCCGAAATCAAATGATTCTTACGCGTGTGACTAAACGCATGCATTATGTGTGCTGAAATGCATTTAACCTATGCATAATTGCACACCTATTGGCCTAGCCCTCCAGTCCACTTGGGCTGTCTTTTCCAGCCATCCCAGGGGATTTCAATGAAAAAAACAAGTACCTCTTGGGGCCACTATGAAAGGCTACATGAGGATAATAATGATGCCCTCATTATCCAGGAGAGTCTTGCTCAGCCTCAAGACTGTTGTTCACGAGAATCCTGTATTAGGATTGTTCGGCAAATTCCCTGAATGAGCATTGAGGTTGGAGGCAGAAGCTGCACTGTCCGGGGGAAAAACACGTACGCATTCAAGTCAGGTACGCTCAAAGCTCTGGACAGATGCATGAAACAATCTATTGATATGCTGTGATCTCCAGCTATAAACAGCAGATCTAACATTTACATCTCATAGCGGTCGGCCTATCACCTCCTGCCTCCCCGAAGCACTCACCCTATAGTTGTCGGGAAAGACAATTTTCCGTGACAGCGCCTTGAGGTTCAAGGCAGCCATGTAGTTCACCACATAGAATGTTGCCATGTCTCCCTCAAAGTGGAACTGAGAAGAACACACACACAGACACAATATTGCAGAGAGGCACAGTGTTGTCATCAGTGGTGGGCATGGTCCCATTGATGGACGAGATTTCTCATGCACAGCCCCTACCGTTTGGAATACCCTCCCACTCCACATCTGACAAATCGACACCATCACTTTATTATTCAAATACAAGATCAAAGCCTTTTCATTAATCTGGACATACGGTGAAGAATAGGAAATCACTGTTGGACATTTGACCAATAGTTTAAACACAGGATAGTTAAACCCAGGATGGATTGTAAGCAGTCCAGCTTGAACACATCGCTTAATCCAGGGGTCGGGAACCTATGGCTCGCGAGCCAGATGTGGCTCTTTTGATGATTGCATATGGCTCGCAGATAAAACAAAATATTCTCACTTGTTTTAATCCATCCATCGATTTTTCACTGCGCATGTCCTGTTCAGGGCTGCAGGAGCAATTGTCCATTATTTTAATTGGATGATACTGGCCTACGTTTGCCGTTGCTGGGTAAAACAGGTAAACGCCCCCTTTTGAATCAGTCTGAGACTGCGTCTGCTCGGTCATTAGCTCAAAGCTAACCCTTCGACGAAGAAGATGGCAAAAAGAAAAAAAGACGACGAGTATCGTACATTTCAGGACGAATGGACCGAAGAATTCGCCTTTGTGGAGAGAGCGGGTTCTGCGGTGTGTCTAATTTGCAATGACAAAATTACATCGTTGAAACGGTCGAATGTAAAGCGGCACTTCGACATGCGCCACGCTACCTTTGCATCAAAATACCCTGCGGGAGACAGCAGAAAGAAAGCGTGCCAAGAGCTTCTGAGCAGGGTGCAAGCTAGCCAGCAGCAACTCCGCGTATGGACCCGGCAAGGTGACTATAATTCGGCTAGCTTTGCTGGTTCTTTAGCAATAGTGAGGAACGGAAAACCATTCACAGATGGCGAGTATGCTAAAACGTTCATGCTGGATGTAGCCAATGAACTTTTTGATGATCTTCCGAACAAAGACAAGATAATCAAACGGATACAAGACATGCCTCTGTCGGCAAGAACTGTTCATGATCGTACCATCGTGATGGCAAACAAAGTGGAGGAAACGCAAGTGAAGGACATAAATGCAGCGCCGTTCTTTTCTCTGGCTTTGGATGAGTCAACAGACGTGAGCCATTTGTCGCAGTTCAGCGTGATTGCAAGATATGCTGTTGGTGACACACTGCGCGAAGAAAGTCTTGCTGTTCTGCCATTAAAAGGGTCCACAAGAGGTGAGGATTTATTCAAGTCTTTCATGGAGTTTGCTCAAGAAAAAAGTCTACCTATGGATAAACTTCTCTCAGTGTGTACTGATGGTGCTCCGTGTATGGTGGGGAAAAACAAAGGATTTGTGGCGCTTCTCCGTGAACATGAAAATAGACCCATCCTAAGTTTCCATTGCATTATACACCAGGAGGCACTTTGTGCTCAGATGTGTGACAGGCAGTTTGGCGAAGTGATGTCGCTGGTCATTCGTGTGATCAACTTTATTGTTGCCCGAGCCTTAAATGATCGCCAGTTTAAAACACTGCTGGATGAAGTTGTAAATAACTATCCTGGTCTGCTTTTGCACAGCAATGTGCGTTGGTTGTCAAGAGGGAAGGTGCTTAGCCGTTTTGCGGCTTGCCTGAACGAAATCCGGACTTTCCTTGAAATGAAAGGCGTCGGGCATCCTGAGCTAGCCGACACCGAGTGGCTCCTCAAGTTTTACTATCTCGTAGATCTGACTGAACATCTGAACCAGCTCAACGTGAAAATGCAAGGCATTGGAAATACAGTGTTATCCCTTCAACAAGCTGTATTTGCTTTTGAAAACAAGCTGGAGCTTTTCATCACGGATCTTGAAACAGGTCGTTTACTACATTTTGAAAAACTGAGCCAATTTAAAGATGCATGCACAGCAAGTGAGCCCATTCAAAACCTTGATCTCCACCAGCTAGCTGGCTGCACATCCAGTCTCCTACAGTCCTTCAAAGCACGCTTTGGAGAATTTCGTGAGCACACTCGTCTTTTTAAGTTCATCACCCATCCAAACGAGTGTTCACTGAACACAGCCGACCTGAATTACATCCCTGGTGTCTCCGTCAGAGATTTTGAAGCAGAAGTGGCTGACCTGAAGGCCTCAGACATGTGGGTGAATAAGTTCAAGTCACTGAATGAAGATTTGGAAAGAATCACACGACAGAAAGCGGAGTTGGCGAGCAAGCACATGTGGACAGAAATGAAAAAACTCCAACCCGAAGACCAGCTGATTCTCAAAACTTGTAACGCGCTTCCTGTCACATACCACACACTGCAGCGTGTGAGTATTGCTGTATTGACCATGTTTGGATCTACGTATGCATGTGAGCAGTCATTCTCACATCTTAAAAACATCAAGTCCAACCTACGATCACGTTTAACGGATGAAAGCCTCAACGCTTGCATGAAGCTTAACCTCACCAAGTACCAACCCGACTACAAAGTACCAACCCGACTACAAAGACATCAGCAAATCCATGCAGCACCAGAAGTCGCATTAATGGTGAGTGTTATAACAACATTATTTAAAAGAATAAATTCAGAGGCTTATTATACTGACATTTAGTTGAATTCACTTTTAAAATATATTATATGGCTCTCACTGAAATAAATTTCCAAATTTTTTGCTTTCATGGCTCTCTTAGTCAAAAAGGTTCCCGACCCCTGGCTTAATCTCTCGCGCTCATACCTGCAACGGAGTGAAGGGCGTGCAGCAGCCCTGCTGCAGGAACTGCAGAAGCCCCTCCTTGCCGTACTTCCTCCCAAAAGGAATCTGGGGACACAAGAAGCAGTGGCCAGGAGTGAACAATAAGATATCTTTCCTTTTATATAGCATCATTCATGCTAAAAGCATCCCACAACGGACATTAATAATTTTTAGGACCAAATCCCACATACAGCCACTGCCAAAGCAAATGAAAACCCTACGAGCAAGCAAAATCAAGAATGAACAAACAAGTTAAGAATTGGCACCAAAACAAAAGGCACAAACAAGAAAAACGTTATCCCAACAAAGGAATTAGTCCATGAGGTCATATCCCAGACCCACAATCCCAAATTTCCAACCAAGCCAGCAAGACCCCAAGCAATTTGTAAGCCTGCACGTGTACGTGTGTCTGCGGGGAGTGCTGGCTCAGTGGTTTGCACACTGCCCTACAAACCCTGGCCGCTCATTGCCAAAAAAAGTGGTTGTTGGCCTCACTTAGGTCGACTCAGCTTTAAATGAGTACCTGGTGTCGTGTGTAAACATGAGCACTGAGGTAACAACCACACTATACCCTGAGGTGCTATGCTGGCCTTAAAAGGTGCCCACGAACAGCACCTGCTCCAACAGTTTGCGAAAGGCTTTCCGAAGGATTGTCCTTGTTACCCCCCTTTGGATCTGTCCCTGTATTATTACAATGCGTTTTTATTCAGGAGAGCTTCACTGAGTCTCAATACTCTTTTTGTGAAGGGTCCTTCCATGTTTTTTTTGCAGTGGGGGAGAGGGCAACATTGCTATGTGTCATCCCAATTGTGTAATTTGAATTCATTTTTTTTATTCCGACCATCACGCCAGCATATGACATCACTGGATAATTAAGGTCTACTGTAAAGCAGATAGCACGTAGTATGTTTACCAATAACACCACGGAGATAACCACCGACTGTGTCCACGTGTGTGCGGCCACTGCATTTACCGTGATCTGGTACCAAGTGGATGGTTCCTGGCTGACGTTGCGCGCCGGAGCACGGTACTCCGCCGACTCGGCCCGTGTCGTCACAGGTGGGACAACGCTCAACCGCTGCCACCGATGGCCCTCGGGACCGGAGGTGGTGTGCGACGGCACACCACTTGGACCCAGCCTGCTCCACACTCTGATTGGAACACAACGAGAGGGCGCGGCGGTGAACGAGGAGCCGAAGGCAGCCACGCGAGCGAAGCATGCGGTTCACTTAAACGGAGACCGT